ACCAGACCCCCTCAGGTCATGAACAAATCACGACGGGAGGTTTTTCGTCATTTTTTCGGCCTCTTGTTGCCCTTGCCAGCCCTCGGGAGCGTCAGAAACCGATTCAGGATGAGAAACCAGTGCTGGGGAATGGGGTCGAGACCTCCAAGGAGTCGACTTCGTGAAAAAGTCATGACGTCGGGAATCTGGGGTCACAACTTTCTCGAGCCAGGCGTGTTCGCCTTTTTTCGGGCCCCGGGACCTTTCGCAGATTGAACCAGCTCGAGAAATGAAGCAGAGAGATGGTGTCTGGCGTCTAGATTTTCTCGAGCCGATCGTTTTTGCTTTTTTTCCGCCCCCCGGACATTTCGCAGATCGATCCGGCTCGAACAATGAAGCAGAGGGATGGTGTCCAGGGCTCCCAGAGTGATTGTTGTTAGATGCTGTCGTTTTTTTTTCGTTACGTCGGATCCATAGGTTCGGGACAGGGGCGCGACCAGGGGAAACGTCAGCGGGGATGGAGGGGTTCACGGGGGAAGGGCGCATCGACCCCCAACCGCCCCTGCATCGCCGAGAGGGGCCCGATAGCCCTACCCCCCGGGAGCGTGTGGACGCGGTCTTGGGGGCCTATCGCCCATCTATGGGCGATGCATCGCCGGTTCCGGGTCGATGCGTTCCTCCCTGAGAAGTTCCCGCTCTATAGTGTTCCTCCTCGCCCGCGGGGACAGGACCTTGGCTACGAAGCTACGTTCGCAACCGCCACCCGCGCACATCACGATGGACACACTTCGGGGGTGGGATCGCGAGCGCGGGACCCTGAGATCCGACGCTGCAAAACAAGTTACAACATCGCCAACACAAATCACGACCAGACCCCCCTGGACCCCATCATCCTGCTTCACTTTTCGAGCTGGATCGCTACGTGAGGGTCCCGGGGCCCAGAATCGGAGGAGGAGGAGGAGGAGGAGGCGGAGGCGGAGGAGGAGGAGGAGGAGGAGGAGGAGGAGGAGGAGGGAGGGAGGATGCGGAGGAGGAGGAGGAGGGAGGAGGCGAAATAGGAGGAGGAGGAGGAGGAGGAGCGAACAACGCGCTCGGCTTTCGGAGGCCTCGACAGACCGAGGCCAGGCTGGGCGGTGGCGAAAGTGGCAACCCGACCAAAGGGGGCCAGCGCCCCCCGCCCCAGTCTCCGGCGCGCAGGCAGACCTATGCTTGCGCCAGGCGGTGCCCAGGAGGAGCGAAAACGCCCATTGTGAACAAAATCGCAACGCCAGGATCTCAGGGGACGCTCGCCAGGTAATTCTGTGCACTGCGCTGTTCCGGGCGAAGGCATGCGTGCCACCGTCGTGTGCATCTCGACACGTGCGGCTCACACCCGCCCTAGTGTGAAGTCGGGCGTGTCCCCCTACAGGAGGAATCTTCAAAAATAGTCAACGCATTGTCTCGGGACGATTGCTCTACCATGTCAGACCATGTTGGAGCTTTGTCTTACTGTTTGTACTTTCTCCTTCCAGAATCAGCCTGTATGGGGGACATGCCCGACCTGACACCAGCGTTAAGTCGGGCCTGTCCCTCTACAGGAGGGATATTCGAAAATAGTCAAAAAATGTCTGGGGACTATTGTTTTAGTATGTTTGGGCATCTTTTGAATTTGTTTTGCGTATCTTTGATTTTTCGTCAAACCCCCCCCTGTAGGGGGACAGGCCCGACCTGACACCAGCGCCTGCTCCCCTCCCAGCCTCTCAAACCGGGTCCGACCAGGGCTGGGGCCGGGGTTCGCGCCGCAGCGCCCCTGCAGCCCGGCGATGCGGCTCGAGGAGGCTCCAGAGTTTCCCTGCGCCGACGGTGCCGATGCCCGCCGGCGTCACGGTTGGCATCCCCCAGTCCTCGGCGATGCTTCGGCGATGCATCGGCGCTGCGGCGCGTTCCTCCGACCCCATCTGCTCGGAGCCTCGGTGTAAGGCCTGCATCCCTCCCCTGGCCCAATCCTCGCTCTCTCTCGCTCTCGCTCTGTTTCTCTCTCTTCTGCTCCTCGCTTCCAGCCTTCGCTTGCCCCTGCCGCTGGCCGCGGATTGCCCCACGCAGTTCGACGCGTCGGAGCCGTCGCCTTTGCAAGCGCACTTATTTGCGATGTCTATACATCTATCTATATCTATATATATATATATAACGAGAGAGAGAGAGAGAGAGAGCTCGTTGCGAGAGAGAGAGAGAGAACACGACAGAGAGAGATAGAGGAACCCACAAAGAAAGATAGAGAGAGAGAGGGACAGGTATATAGAGAGAGAGGGAGAGGCGAAACAACTAGACACATAAAAAAGAACAGGGAGAGCGAGCGATACAGAGACGCAGAGAGAGCGAGAAGGCGAGAGGGAGAGCGAGAGGGAGAGCAAGGGAGAGCGTGACCCAGAGATCCGCATGCGTCTTCTATGCGCCACCGCCGTGCCCGCCCAGGGCCAGCCTGGGCCCCCCCGGGGACGGTTCGCAGGCCCTGCTGGCCGAGGCCTGGAGGGCTCGTGCACCGCGCCAGGGCCCCGGGACGGCCAAGGCCAGGCTCGGCGGTGGTGCCACGAGGTGCCCTGAGCGGAAGAGGGGATCAAGGAATGCACCCCTCAGAGCTCGCAAGACAAAGCGTACATGTTCGTGGGTTCCAGACGTCGCTCCAGAAAGTCTCAGGGCTCCGCGCTGGGCCCTGGGCGTTTCCACGGAGCTGCTTCTCTTCGTGGAGTGTTCGTATGTCTGGACCTGGACTACTGCGTTAAATGTTGTCAATTCTGAGCTGGGGTGTACCGTACGCCGGCCATCCACCATGCTTCGTCCTCCTTCACCCTTCTCCTGCACGGCACGCAGCAGCGTTCGGGTGTGTCAAACTTGGATGTTCTGCCCCCTTTCCTCTCCGTCTGCCGCTTTGCCCCCCCTCCTTCTCCCTCTTCCCTCTCCGCCCGAGCCGTCCAGGGCTATTTCAGATCTTGCCATCGTCGCTGCGATGCCGGATGTCGACGCGCTGTCAATCCCCTCAGCTCTCCTCCTCCTCCGCCTCCTCCTCCTCAAGCTCATCCTCCTCGTCCTCCTCCTCCTTCTCCTCCTCCTTCTCCTCCACCTCCTCCTCCTTCCTCCCCCCCACAGAGCATGGAACGGCCTACAAATCGTCGCTGTGTTGCTGGAGCTCCTCCTCGCATCTTAGCGAGAAGACGAGCCGCCCCGAGGCCGCCGCACTGCTGGCCACGGACCTCTGGCTCTCCGCGTCGCCCGGCGGCGACGAGCTCTGGGCCCGGGAGGCGCTGGCAGACCTGCTGGGGGCGCCTCGCCCAGGGGGGGGCACTCGCGCGCCGGGCGCCGGGCGCCGGGCGCGGGCCGGCGTCGGGAGCCGAGCGGCGGCGGGTCGTCGTGTGCGTCTCCTCGCCGTGACTTGCCCTCCTCCCTCCTCCTTCTCCTCCTCCTCGTTCCTCCTCCTCCACCCTCCTCGTTCCTCCTCCTCCTCCCTCCTCGTTCCTCCTCCTCCCTCCCTCCTCGTTCCTCCTCCTCCCTCCTCCTTCCTCCTCCCTCCTTCTCCTCCTTTCTCCTCCTCCTCCTCCTCCTCCCTCCTCCTCCTCCTTCTCCTCCCTCCTCCTCCTCCCTCCTTCCTCCTCCTCCTTCCTCCTCCTCCCTCCACCTATTCCTCCCTCCTTCCTCCTTCCCCCCTCTGCCTTCCTCCTTCTTCCTCCTCCTCCTCCTCCTCCTCCTTCCTCGACCCCGTCCCCCCCTCTCCGACGAGCGTGGCGGGGGAGGAGGAGGTCTCATGACCCCTTCGAGGCATGAACAAATCATGACGGAAGGTTATTCACGATTTAGAGCCTCTGTGGGCCTGTGTCGGGCCTCGGGGCCGTCAACCATTGGCCCGGGGCGAGAAACCCGTCCCGAATGGGTCAAAATCATGACGTCGGGTGTCATCTCCCGCCTACCTCATCCATGCCGTTGCACCCTGTGGTGCATCATCGAGGTGCCCATCTTCTTGCGCATGGGAGGGTCTCTTTAGCGAGCTCATGTCTTACAAGTTGAATTCGCCACAGTCTCGGAGGTAAAGCCATTGTTGCAGATATTTGATTGTTGTCGTACATGCACGTTCTGTGATCCGGCTGACAAGCATAAGCTATTTGATCTTGAGTTTGAGACAAGTGGGTTTGGAAACATGTGCGTTTTCAGCGCTTCGGTCCAGAAGATGTTTCTGAAACGCAGCTGCACGCGATCAAATTCAAGCCAGTCCAGCCTTGAATAGAAGATCTACTCGCAGGGAGGCACATCAAAACGGTGTCAGAGGTTTGGTCTTGCTGGTGGTCGGCTATTATTACGCATGAGAGGTAAGGGAAATACAGAGTGCCATGCATTAGGGCCTCCCCCCTCATCTCCAGGAGCGCCGGCCAATCGTCGTCGTCGCCAGTGGAGGTCGTCGTCGAGCAGTGGCATGGGCAACAAGCCGTTCTCAATACAGGGGCCTCTTCTGGAAACCCGAAAAACGCAAAGAGGGTTTTCGCAGCAGGGATCGGCATGCCTCCAGGTCCGCGCCCTCGATGAGTCCAGCCCTCGCCCGCGCTGGGCTGGTCGGGAGAAGGCCAGAGAAGAAGAGAAAGAGAGGGAGAGAGAGATCAAGCAGTGGCGAGGCGTCCTGGTTTGCCCATAGGCCATAGTCCCACCAAATAATGTTCTAGTAAGAACCTTTTTGTGATTTGCGCGAAAGGTTCTTAGGACGTTTCTGGCTGAGGCCGTCTCGTTTCAAGACATCGGCGTCACGTTCTGGGAACATTGTTTTTGTTTAGTCGACCGGTTCTTGGTTCCGAGAACACCTCGTTGTAGGGCCTATAGGAATGTCGGACGGTCGGTCCCTGCTCAAAGAAGAGGGGAGTGGCGGACTGCTCCGGTCGGCCTCCCCGATCTCCGCCCAGCCCCCGGGGGCGCTTGCCGAGGCGCTGCGGGCGGCTGCCCAGAGGCAGCAAGGCCCGCGCCGCCGCCGACGACGACGAGGACGACGACGAAGACGACCACCACCACCACCACGACGACGACCACGACGACGACCACGGCGGCGGCGACGGCGGCGGTGGCGACGACGACGACGACGACGACGACGACGACGACGACGACGACGACGACGTGGGGATGGGCTCGTGCTCGGCCCCCGGCCTCTCCGCGCTGCCTCTGTGGGGCTGGAGTCGATTCCCCCCTGGGCGGCGTGGAAATCCGGCAGGCTGTGGCCTGCGGGCTATTCGCGGCCCGCGCTGGGCTGCAGGAAGCACAGGCCGCCCACATCGCAGGCGCTCTCTGGCCGAGCACTCGGGCTGGTCCGCTCAAGCCTGGCGCTCTTCTCTGAGCGGGCGGGCGCTGGCAAACACGTCGGCCGATCCTTCCGCAGCCATCTTGGCTCAAGTTCGCAAATCGTGCGGCGGTGTTGCATCGATCCCATATCGTATTTCTTCCTCCGGTATTTTCCAGAGAATTCGCATTAATGTACGCATGCAGAAACACTACCCCGCAAGTGTGTGTATGGTTCCTGTGCAGAGTGCCGGGGGCGCGAAGTCTAAGACTTGCAACTAGTCTGAGGAGCGGCGGCGAGAAGTTGTATGACATCTATTGCCGTGCCTTTGACGAACACGGACTTCCGACCGACTGCCCCATCAGTAAGGTAGAATCATCTCCAAATATCACCCGCAAGCCCGAGTTGACAGCAACTTTACCGTAGGAAATGCTATCTCAGAAATGCTTGGATGAAGTAGCTATTGGCAGTTGGGGAAGGTCCGGCCGCTATTTCGACACTGATTCGCTGGGCGCGCGCAAGCGCTATGCTGGTGCAACGTTTTATTTGGGGCCCCCACGTGCGCTGGATGGGATGGAGGCACACATGTCACATGATAAGAACACAAGCATAGAAGACATTCACAACTTACAAGACATGCTTCTGACACCGCACTCCAGACAATGGGTTTACGCTCCAGTTCTGAAGGGAGAATTTGACACTGATTCCGACTTCGTATGGCGTCCCGATGGTACGACGAGTGGTTGTCCCAAGTACGAATGGTTTCAGCGAGACGCTGCGGCGTCTTGTCTCACTAACACTTGGGTGGCTTTCTGGGGTGACTTTACTACGCGCATGCTCTTTTCGGCATTGGTGGACTTCCTCGGCGACGGCATTGAAGAGCCTAACTTTCCAACACACGATTTCACGTACAAGCGGCATGCGCGTTATGTAGATAAGTGCAACAGAGGCGAGTGCCATTTCCTTGTGCATTTCCCGGAGCGGAACAGGGTGCTGACATTCCAGTTTGTGACACAGAGTTTGCGAAGCAATAGCGGCTACCCAAACATATGGCAGAAATTTAGGGAGCAGAGGGACAATTTTACAGGGATCCCATTTCCAAAGGCCGAGCCCGACGTTATCATTATGAACAATGGCCCATGGGAGTATTACAGCTACCTTCACACTACCTGGATGGGAGACAGGCGTTACAAGCAAGCAATCACGGAATGGTTGGTAAAGACGTTCGGCAGAGCCGACGGGGAGCGCACCGAGCAGTTTCCGAAGTTGTTAGTCATGAAGAACACGGCCTGCACGCAGGCAGCCGGACTGTGTGAGGCATCGTCCGTGCCGTGCGTCGATGCTATGGACAACGTGGACCGTCTGCAGCGGGAGGTAATCGGTATTTTGACGGGCAGTCTCAAGACATCGGTACGATATTTGGACGGGGTGTATTCGAGGGTTCTCCCTGAAGGGTACCACTGCAACGGGGAGACCAGCTACCACCTCCCAGCCGTTGTTACCGACCAGCGCCTGAATCACGCGCTGCACGCTATCTGCTTTTCTAATGGCATTGCCTCGTAGATGTTTTGATGGAATGGTGTCTTAGAATCCTCGATGATTGATCGCCCAGGTTTGATCTCACTCGTGAATAAGAACTCCCAATCGTGAAGAGAGTGAAGTTAGTGTGGTGTCATAGTGTAGTGTGGAGAACCCTTGCGTGTGACACTACAGTATGACACTACACTGAGGTTAGTGTGGTGTCATAGTGTAGTGCCGAGAACCCTTGCGTGTGACACTTCCTTCTGACACTACACTGAGGTTAGTATGGTAACATAGTGTAGTGTCGAGAGCCCTTGCGTGCGACACTACAGTATGACACTACACTGAGGTTAGTGTGGTGTCATAGTGTAGTGTCGAGAACCCTTGCGTCTGACACTAAAGTATAACTTGGCACTAAGGTCTGTGTGGTGGCATAGCGTAGTGTCGAGAACCCTTGCGTGTATCACTACAGTATGGCACTACACTAAGGTTATTGTGGTGTAACAGTATAGTGTTGGGGACACCGGGGTGCGACACTACATTATGATACTACCATGCGGCTGAGGAGGGCGGCTGAGTTTTCCCGCTCCGCGAGAGAGTGCTCTACGCTGCGTTTACCGTGGTGTCATCGCATAGTGTTAGGGACACCGGGGCGCGACACTACATTATGATACTACACTGCGGCTGAGGAGAGGGGCTGAGTTTTTGTGTCCTGCTGTTCCGTAAGGATGTTGAATGGCTCCGCTCCGCGAGAGAGGTCTCTACGCTACGGTTATTGTGGTGTCATAATATAGTATTGGGGACACCTGGGTGCGACACTACACCTATGACACTGCTCTACGGCTGAGTAGAGGGGCTGAGTTTTTTTTGCTTGCTGTTCCGTAGGGTTTTTATTGGCTCCGCTCCGCGAGCCAGGACTCTACGCTACGGTTATTGTGGTGTCATACTATAGTGTTGGGGACACCGGGGTGTGACACTACACTGTGACACTACACTACGGCCGAGGAGGGGGGCTGAGTTTTTGATGGGCTCCGCTCCGCGAGAGAGGATTCGACGCAACGGTTAACTATTGTGGTGTCATAGGGACACCGAGGTGCGACACTACATTATGACCATCATGGCACTACACTGCCGCTGAGGAGGGGGGGGCGGAAGAGTTTGTTTGACGCTTATTGTTCCTTGGGGTTTAGCTTGGCGCGGCTCCACGAGAGAATGCTTTACGCTATGGTCCGTGTGGTACCATAGTGTAGTGTTGGGGGCACCTGGGTGCGACACTACACTATGACACTACACTACGGCTGACACTGCACTACGGCTGAGGCTGAGGCGGCTGAGGCGGAGGAGGAGGAGGAGGAGGAGGAGAAGAAGAAGGATCACGATAATGAAAAGGATCATATACATATAACGGTGGGCCGGGTCCAGGGGCCGGGGGCCGGGACCACGACCACGCATGTGGGGCCAGGGCGTCGTTTTCCATGTGTTTTTTTCACGGGGTTTCGGTGATCCGGGGCCAATAGGGCCCCAAGAGGCTGCAGGGATGCCCCAGGAGGCCGCAGCGATGGCCCCAGACGCTTTTCAAGACGACTCCCATGACGCCAAGAAGGCCCCCGAAGACGCCGCAAGAGGCACCCCGAGAAAGGCCCAATCAGCAAACATCGTCGACTTCCTATGGGAAAACTTTTTTTTTGGCGTGTTCGCCTTTTGGGCGTCCACTGCGTCCAAGACGGCCCGAGAGGCCCCCAAGATTGCCCCACAGGCTCCCAAGAGGGCTCCAAGACGACCCCTAAGAGGGCCCCAAGACGGCCCGAGAAGCCCCCAAGACAACCCAAGAGAGCACCAGGACGAGCCCCAGAGGGGTCCCAGAGGTGTATAACCATATTCAAATTCCGAGCTTTCGGCCCCAGAGGTTTCCAGGAGGCCCCAAGAGGTCCCCAGGAGGCCCCAAGAGGCTCCCCAGATGCCCCAAGAGGCCCCCAAGAGACCGCCAGGAGGCCCCCAAGAGGCACCCCAATAGAGCCCCAAATGAGCAAAACACATTGATTTCCGATGGGGAAACTGATATGTTTGGCGTGTTCGCCTTTTTGGCTTTCCGCTGCGTCTAAGACGGCCCAAGAGGCACCCAAGACGGTCGAGGATGCACCCAAGACCCAAGAGGGCTTTAAGACAGCCCACGAGGGGGGCAAGACGGCCCACGAGGCGTCCAAACCGCCCAAGAACGCTTCAAATCGGCGCCCAAGACAAGGACGAGGACTGAAAATGGAAGCCATTAGGCCCAAGTGGCGCCCAGGAGACCCCAAGAGGCTCCAAGAAGCGCCCAAGAAGCCCCCCGAGGTCCCCTTAAGAGACCCACAAAAACACACAAAGAGTCCCCAAACACGCCCCAAGGGGCACCCCAATAGAGCCCCAATAAGCAAGAACCGTCTGGGAAAACTGATATGTTTGGCGTGTTCGCCTGTTTGGGCTTCCACTGCGTCCAAGACGGCCCAAGAGGCCCCCAAGATCGCCCCGCAGGCTCCCAAAGGGGCTCCGAGACGCCACGGACAATGGAACGAGGAACCGGAAATTCGCGCCTTTCGGCCCAAGAGACCTCCAGGAGACCCCAAGAGGCTCCAAGAAGCGCCCCAGAAGCCCCAAGGCCCCCATGAGACCAGAAAAAACACCAAAAGAGGCCCCGAACACACCCCAAGGGGCACCTCAGTAGGGCCCCCCAAATCAGCAAACATCGTCGATTTCCGATGGGGAAACTGATATTTTCGGCGTGCTCGCCTGTTGGGCTTCCACTGCGTCCAAGACGGCCCAAGAGGCACCCAAGACGGTCGAGGATGCCCCCAAGAGGGCTCCAAGACGGCCCACGAGGGGGCCAAGACGGCCCACGAGGCGTCCAAACCGCCCAAGAACGCTTCAAATCGGCGCTCAACACGGGGACGAGGAACCGAAAATGCAAGCCATTAGGCCCAAGAGGCCCCCAGGAGACCCCAAGAGGCTCCAAGAGGCGCACAAGAAGCCCCAAGAGGCCCCCAAGAGACCCGCAAAAAACACAAGAGACGGATACGCATACGGATTGCTGCACCAGGCCTCTAAGCAGCCTGACTCGTTTGTTTTTTTTGTGGCTGGGCAGCCCCCAGTCTTTTCTATTTCACGCATTTGTGAATACCGCAATTGTGAACACCATCTTCGCCCACGCTCCCTATGTGGCCACGGCTTCCCGCCGGAGCCCGACATGCTCAGGGACACGTTCGCGGCCGTCTTCGCGGGCGCCGACGACGACGAGGACCGTGCCCCCCTGACCGAGGAGGCTCTGGGAGCCATGCGGGAAGCTGCCACTGGCGCCTTCGGTGGAGCTCCTATGGGGCCACGATCCTCGTGAGGGGCGTGCCGAAATGGCCCGAGGCCGCTATGCGAACCCTGCCGCTGGCGCCTTCGGTGGAGCTCCCTATGGGGCCACGATCCTCGTGCGAAGCCTGCCACTGGCGCCTTCGGTGGAACTCGTATGGGGCCACGATCTTCGTCAGGGGCGTGCCGCAATGGCCCGATGCCGCCATGCAAACCTTGCCACTGGCGCCCTCGGTGGAGCTCCCTATGGGGCCACGATCCTCGTGAGGGGTGTGCCGAAATGGCCCGAGGCCGCCATGCGAACCCTGCCACTGGGGCCTTCGGTGGAGCTCCCTACAGGCCCACGATCCTCGTGAGGGGTTTGCCGAAATGGCCCGAGGCCGCCATGCGAGTTCCGCCATTGGGACCTTTTGGTGGAGCTCCCCATGGGGCCACGAAGCGAGTGGTGTGTGTGTGTGTGTGTGTGTGTGTGTGTGTGTGTGTGCCGAACTGGCCCGATGCCACCGTGCGAGTTCGCCACCGGGGTCGGTGGAGCTCCCTATGTGGCCACGAAGCGTGTCAGTGTGTGTGTGTGTGTGTGTGTGTGTGTGTGTGTGTGTGTGTGTGTGTGTGTGTGTGTGTGCGTGTGTGTGTGTGTGTGCTGAAATGGCCCGAGGCCGTTATGCGAGTTCCGCCACTGGGACTTTAGGTGGAGCTCCTTATTATGGAGCCACGAAGCGTGTGAGGGGTGCGCCAATATGGGGCGGGGCCGCCGTGCGAGTTCCGCCACTGGGGCCTTCGGTGGAGCTCCCTATGTGGCCACGAAGCGTGTGAGCGGTGTGCCAAAATGGGGCGGGGCCACCATGCGAGTTCGGCCATTGGGACCTTTGGTGGAGCTCCCTCTGGGGCCACGATCCTCGTGAGGGGTGTGCCGTAATGGCCTGGGGCCGCCATGCGAGTTTTGCCACTGGGGCCTTCGGTGGAGCTCCCTATGGGGCCACGAAGCGTTTGAGGGGTGTGCCGTAATGGCCTGGGGCCGTCATGAGAGTTCCGCCACTGGGACCTTAGGTGGAGCTCCCTATAGGGGCCACGCAACGTGTGAAAGGGGCGTGCCGAAATGGGGCGGGGCCGCCATGCGAGTTGCGCCTGTGGGACCTTTGGTGGCACTCCTTATGGGGCCACGAAACGTTTGAGGGGTGTGCCGAAATGGCCCGATGCCACCCTGCGAGTTCCGCCGCTAGGGTCTTCGGTGGAGCTCCCTATGTGGTCACTGCAGGGGCTGAGAAAACGGGAGCACGGGACCATTGACCAGGAACGGAGAAAACGAGACCCCAGGGGCAGAGAAAACGGGACAAAATCGGACATCTCACCCAATGGAGCCCCGCTTTCTCTCCTCCGGCGCCGACGCCGCAAGCGCCTCTGCCCTCGCGCGCCGTACCCTTCGGGCCTGGCGGCCAGGCCAGGCGCTGCCCCTCTCTGCCTGGGTCGCCCGCGGCCGTCGTCGTCGTCGGCGTCGTCGTCGAATTCGTCAACGTCGTCAACGTCGTCGTCGTCGTCCACGTCGTGGTCGAAGTCGTCAATGTCGTCGTCGAAGGTTTAGCGTATTTGGGTCAGCGGGCCGTCTTCGAGCCGTGTTTCGGTCTCCTGGCGAACCCGGCCGCCACTCTGGCCGCGGGCGGCGGCCAGCTGTCGGCCCGAGCCTGCCACCGAGGGAGGAAGCGCGATGACCACTTCCGAGATACCGCGAGTTTCGTCGGCGCCGATGACGTGGTTCATGCGCCCGTTGGCCCAGGCTCGCGAGGATGATCCGCGAGTTGACGATGACCAAAACGGGCGGTGACCAAGATCGACACCGACGTCTCCGCGTTCAGTCCTGAGCGTGGTCGTCGTTTTGCCCGCCTCGCGCCCTCAGTTCGGCGCCGCCGCCTGCCTCCCCTGCACCTGGAGGGGCGGCTTGCGGGCAGGGGCGGGGAGAGTGGGGGGGTAGTCCTCTGCGCGCCTTGGCGGCGCCACGCAAGGAGTGGGGCGAGATGGGCAGCCATCCAAGAATGCATGGGGGGCCTCGGAGCAGGCTTCCAAAAAAGGCTTCTCAGAGAGGGCCGGAGGTCCTTCAGAAAGGTCTCCAAAGCAGCCCCCCTTCCGTCTCGCCCCCGTCGCCCTCCCATCTTGCGCGCTGTCTGGGGCTCCCACCCCAGGGCAACTTCGGGCCAGCCACAACTGGGGGAGCTGTGGTCCTTACCCCCCTGGGGGAACCCATCGCGTCGACGATCTCTCGAGAGGGGTGTCGAAATCGATGGGTTCCCCCAGGGGGGTAAGGACCACAGCTCCCCCAGTTGTGGCTGGTCGGTGGTTCTCTCTTTCCCAGCCTTTGGGACCCCCTTGCCCGCGGCAGCCAGCCGGCGCCGGCGCCCTCGCCTTCGCCGCCGCGTCCCAAGCCGCCCTCGTGGGGGGCGCCTTCTTGGCTCCCCCTTGCGCTGCCGTTCCCCACCCTCCTCCTCCTTCTCCTCCTCCTCCTCCCCCTCCTCCTCCTCACCCTCCTCCTCCCCTCCTCCTCCTCCTCCTCCTCCTCCTCCTCCTCCTCCTCCTCCTCCTCCTCCTCTCCCTCCTCACCCTCCTCCTCACCCTCTCCGCGAGGCCTGACGGCGCAGCTCGTCGCCTTCTCGTGCCTGTCGCGCCTCCTGAGCGAGCTCTGCGAGCGCCGCGACCCCGAGGACAGCTGGCGCGAGGGCTGGCCGCTGGCGTCGTCGCCCCTCCGAGGTCTCGTCCCCTGCGCGCCCACCGTGCAACGTTCTGCCTTGTCGCCCGTACTGTTTTGAGTTTGCTAGCTGGTTCTGTGCAAGCCAGGCGGCGCAGGCCCCATCCCGCGAAGGCGGCAGAGATGGGAAGAAATCGAAGAGGGAAATCACGGCATGAACATAAACTTTCGACAGTCCTCGCGGACCGTCGAAAGTTTATGCTCAAGCAGTTGCTTTCTCCTTCTGAGAAGAGGGCCCAATCACCCCCCGATCCCGACGACCTCTTGCCCAGTGAGCCTCCCGTTTTCCCGATGGGGCCCGCCGCCCTCCTGACCTGCTTCGGATGGTCGTGCCCTCGGGCGCAAAAGGGCCAGCATGATCCGCGCCTGGAGTCAGGAGACACCTCGAAGAAGAATGCGTCGCAGCTCCGGAAGACGCTAGGAACGGAACGGTGGGTTGCAGAATGTGTCTTCCGCGAGGATCCCTGAAATCCCAGTGCCGTCGCATGCTTATGGCCGGTACCTTGCTTTTTTGGCTGGTGCAGGCGGGATGGCAGGCCGCCCGGGGAAAGCTCTTTGCTCAGGGGAGCGTCCACCCCCGCGAGGCCGCAGCAGAGCCCCCAGGTGAAGCAAGGAGGGCGGGACCGCCTCACCCAACGTTCCCTGAGGGAAAAAAGAAATAGAAGAGAAAGAGAGAGAGAGAGAGAGACAGAGGCAGAGGCAGAGGCATAGGCAGAGGCATAATATATATATATATATATATGTATATAGACGGAGAGGCAGAGAGAGGGAAGCAGAGATAGTGAAGGGAATAGAGAGGGAGGCAGGTATGATGAGGAAGAGAGAGAGAGAGGGAGGGATGAAGGGAGGAAGGGGGAGGAAGGGAGGAAGGGAGTATAGAGTCTAGAGAAAGGGAGTGAACGGGGAGAGAGGGAGGGAATGAGACAGAGAGAGAGAGAGAGACCAAAAAACAGCGTAAGAGACACAGACCCGACGCTCCAGTCGCATCGCGCCCCTCACCGCTGGCCGCGTCGCCACTGCAGGGCAGGCACGATGCGGCCCCCCGGCCCCTCGGGTTGCCGCGCCGCGCAGCCCCTGCGTGCCGGCAGCTCGGGCGGGCGCCCCTGGAAGGTGCCGCGGCCGGCGGGTCCGAGGGGCCCCGGCGGGCGTTGCGCCGCAGGTGTGCGGTGCGCGTACAGTCAAAACTCTTTGCCCCAATCGGTGCTTGCACTGAAGGGGTCCTATATAGCGGAGAGTCCCCACTCGGTGCTTGCGCTGAAGGGGTCCTGAAGCGGAAGTGGAGAGGCTTGGCGAAAGTGTGCCGCCGATTTTGGTGGCCGGCTGGGTTTCCGGGTTCCCGGGTTCCTGGTTTCCTGGTCATTGATTCCGTTTCGATTTCGGTGGGTCCCTGGTTCCCGGGTTCTGGTCGATCTCCTTATCTCTTCATCGATCCCATTTCACACCATCCATTGACTGAGTTTTTTCTCTGGTGTAATTGGATAGCGTGTCGCTCCGCCTGTTCTGGCCCACCACGTTTCGGCGCGGCACGCTATCCGCTTTCCCACTCTCAAGCATCAACATCCTCGGAAACTGGAACATATACATTACCAGGGGCGGGTTGTTTTTTCAATCCCAAGACTTTTTGAGGGTCGGGGACGACGTCGGGGTGGTGTGGTGTTTTCGTTTCCCCCGTTTTCCGAGGGAAACAACGAAACATGTATACACCAGGATCCCGTATACACCAGGATCCGCGTTCATGGGCGAATTTCGGCGCAGGGTCGGAAAAAGCGTCGGTGTATAGAGTTCGTTTCCCTGCATCCCGAGCTTTTCCGAGCCTCCCGCCTCGCGGAGCGGAGCGACACACTGTCCCCGCTATGCAAAAGTTCTTGACCTTACGCCTCGGCGGAGCGGTGAGCGTACAGGCAAGGCGCCAAAATCAAGAACACGTCGGATTCGGATGGGGCTCAAGGAGGAGGCGACGTTCGATGTGCTGGGTTCGGGAAGGTTTTCTGCCGTTTTCGGCCTCCTATAGGGGCCGCTTGCGGGCCCAGGGGCCGTGAAACCCGGGGAGAAAAACTGGACCAGATTGACCCCGGAATGGATCTCACCACCCACCAAACCACCCCAACCCAACCCGAAGGCTCAGATTTACCCTCGATTTCCAGTTGGGGGGGGTCGGGAAACATCGAAAAAACACATGTGGAACCCTTAACCCCCCCAACCCGAAATTCGGGTCTTCGGGTTGGGTTGGGGTGGTCTGGTAGGTAGTCAGGATCTGGGGACCGAGTTGGTTCCGTCCATCTTTCGGGACCGATCTTCCGTGTTCCCAATGAATTCAGGCCCTCCGGCCGCCTTCCAGGTGAGCGTATACAGCCAAGACGTCAAACTCAGGGTCGGCTCGGGCTCGGAACGGACTCGCTGTTCCTCGGGTCCCTCCATGGTTGTTCTGCTAGCGCCTTTCGTGCGGTCGTTTTTGGGTCGAGGAGGGGCGGTTGTTTTTAGGGCCGAGGAGGGGCGTCGTGGCGTCGTTCCTTGTCCAGCGTTTCTTGCAGGGCCAATTTCGATCCGATCGATCCGGTTCGATGTCGATCCCAGCCGGCCCGACCTGACTCGATTCCGAGATTATGGCGATCCGAGGCGGCCCGAAGTTTGCATGGCGCTGGTGTGCATCCTGGCGCCCGCCGACTCGATCCGATTCCGACCCCGAGCCGATGCGGCCCCACTCGACACGTGCCCCGATCCGATCTGACCTCCCGATGCTCGGAGCTGGCCTCTCTATGGCGCTGCGATGACTGCACCCCTCCTCAGAACACGCCGGCGGCCTACCGCACCTTCGTCTACGCGCTGGTGGAGTCGGAGTCCGCGGCCGCGCGGGAGTTCGCGCTGCGCAACCTGCAGGCCCTGCTCCGGCGCCACGAGGGCGTGCCGGCCGCGGGCCCGGCCGCGCCGGAGGGCCGGCCCGCCTCGCCGCAGCCGCCGCGGCCCTTCCTGCGCCTCCTGCAGGGGTCGGGGGCAAGGTGGTGATGGGCCGGTTGTCCACCACCGCTACCATAAGTTGGAAGGGGGAAGGATGAGGAGGACGAGGAGGAGGAGGAGGAACCCCTTCCCCTCTCACTTCTGGTGGTGGCGGTGGTGGAAACCAGGCCCATCAAGGTGAGGGGGGGGATGGGCTCAGAGGGGGGGGGGCGCATCGGCCCCCGATCGCCCAGCCCTCGCCGAGAGGGGCCCGATGGGCCCCCCCCGCCCGGGAGCGCGCGGATGCGGTCGCCGATGCGTCGGCGACGTGTAGCCGATTCCAGCTCGACGTTGCTGGCCCTGCTCGATATCTCCCACCCTGAGCTGGTCCCCCCTGCTGCAACGTCCCCTCGGACGGGGCTGGGACGAGGATGAATCCGTTCCAGAGCGTTCCGGAACGCTCTCAGAGCATTCCAGAACGCTCTGAGAAGGCCGCGGCGCCCGATACATCCCCCAGAGCCGCCGTATCAGAGATTCTGAATTAACAACCCGATTTTACCCTCGTCCTGGCTTCGTCTTCAACGTTCCCCCTGCACGAGCGGTTGGTCGCTGGTGCGAGGTCGGATCGATCTGCGCCATGACTCGTGCAGCCCATCGCGCCGTGCCTCGCAGAGATGCTCGCGCAGCGAGCAGAAGCCCGGCCCTGGGGAAGGGTTCCTCCTCCTCCTCCTCCTCCTCCTCCCCCTCCTCCTTATCCTCCTCCTCCTCCTCCTCCTCCTCCTCCTTCTCCTCCTCCTGCTCCTCCTTATCCTCCTCCTCCTCCTTCCCGTCCTCCCCTTCCCCCTCCTCCTTCTCCTCCTCCTCTTCCTCCTCCTCCTCCTCCATTATTTGTTTGTAGGAATTTGTTTTGTTCTAAAGCGTTGCGTGGTAGGCCGATAGGAATGCCGGGACGGTGGGTCCCTGCTCAAACGTGTTGAGAATACTATCTAGACATCGGATGTCTGGTCTGAGGGGTGTGGCGCACGCAGCCTGGGACAGCGGCAGGCCGCAGGGCAGAGAGGCCTCTTTCGACTCGCCAGCGAGCTGCAGCGGGCAACGCATGCTCTGGAGCATCGCTTGTGGCAGCCGGCCACGTCCCATCGGCGGTATACTGGCGAGGCGTGTGCGCATTGCTTGAAGCATTGGCCGTGGCGTGGGAGCCACACTTCAGCGATAGATCCCGTTCGACCCAACTTGCCCAACCAGGTGCCGCAGGGCTTCATGGGAGAAGCGCGGCCTTGCCCGCCACGCTGTTTGCCAACAGTCTCCCGGGCAGACCGCGCGAATACCAAGGTTGGAATCATCGTGGAGCTCATGGTGAAGAAGTTCCAGGCCCCCTTTGCTCACCACCTCTGCCTCTCCCCAGGTTTTCTGCGATCCCACCTCCTAGCACTCCTCCTTGCCTCGGTCCTCGTTCTTCATGCGCCTAAGGGAGAGTGCCTCGATCATCTTCCAGGTCCCATTTTGTGCACTCTCCTCCCCCCTCTCCCTCCCCAGCTCATCCTCGAAGCTTACGATTCCCGTGCACTGTCAATGGCGAGAGCCTGATGGTTGCCAAGCTGATGTTCGTGCGTGTGTGTGTGTGTGTGTGTGCGTGTGTGTATGTGCGTGTGTGCGTGTGTGCGTGTGTGTGTTGTGTGTGTGTGTGTCCCCGCGCTGCGGTCGCGCTTCGCATCCGCTACGCTGCGTCACTTGCTTAGCGTGCTACCGAACGCCCAGTTCACCGCAGCAGCTTTTGCGCAGCCTCCAACAGCCGCTGCACCGCCTCCCGCCCTGGCATTCGGGGCCTCTCTCGGCCCTGCAGCTCCGGCACCTCCCAACTTGCTGGGCCACGCCCTGCACTGCTGCCGCTGGTATTTCCCCTTGGTGAGCCCGCGATGCCGCCCCGCGCCCGCTGCCAGGGGCTGCCCACAGGCCCGGCCGCCCCGCGCGTCTGCTGCGGCCTCGCCGCGTGAGTGCGCCTACAGTGCTCTTCTTGGCACTTCTCCGCGGCTGTCCCTCGTCTTCCCCTCCCCTCTTGCATGCGGGCCAACTCGCCATACCCATACGACCACCCTTCGGGTGATAAGGAGGTTCGGGGGGGGGAACCAACGTCTCACTCGATCGTTCTCACTATCGATCTCACAATCGATATCACTATCGGTCTCGCTCGATCGATCTCACTCGATCGATCTCAGAATCGATATCACTCGATCTATTTCATTCGATCGATCTCACAACCGGTCGGCCTATCGATCTCACAATCGATCTCACGATCGATTTCACTATCGATCTCATCGTCGATCTCACATTATTTCCCACCGTCGATCTCACCATGGATATCACAATCGATCTCGCAATCAATGTCATCATCATCAACATCATCGTCACCAATGTCATCGACATAATCGTTCTCATCATGATCATCATCATCGGGACACCATTATCATCATCACCGCATCACCATCATCATCAATAGCATCATCAGCATCATCACCATCATCATCATCGGGACACCATCATCGCCACCATCATCATCACCAACAGCATCATCATTTTCATCGGGACACGACAACCACCATCATCATCATCATCACTCCACCATCATCACGCACCACCTCATCAACACCATTATTACCGGGACACCATCATCACCATCATCCGGAACAACATCATCATCAACAATATCGTCATCACCGGGAAATCATCCGCATCGTCACCATCATCATCACCATCATCATTGGGACACCAGCATCATCAACATCATCACCATCACCATCACCATCACCATCGGGCCACCATCATCAATACCATCATCATCACTTCATCATGATCCTCACCATCAAGATCATCATCATCATCGGGACACCATCATCGTCATCATCATCAACAACATCGCAATCATCGGGACATCACCGTCATCATCACCAGCATCATCATCAATAGTATCATCATCAACCGCATCATCATCGGGACACCATCATCATCACCTTCATCATCCTCATCGTCACCCCATCATCCCATCATTGTCAACATTATCATGATCATTCACATCATCATCGCCATCGGGACACCATCATCATGACCAGCAACACCAGCATCATCAACATCAGCAGCAGCATCATCATCGGGACACCACCATCATCACCACCATGGCCATCATCATCATCATCAACAACATCGTCAACATGATCATCATCATCATCGGGACACCATCATCATCACCACCATCACCATCATCATCATCATCATCAACAACAACACCATCATCGTCATCATCACCATCATCATCATCATCTTCATCATCATCATCATCATCATCATCGGGGCACCGACGGGACACCGGCGGGACACCGCGGGCCACCGGACGCCTGTCCAGAATCATTTGGTCCGGCCGCAGGCGGGACACCGCGGGCCACCGGACGCCGGTCTGGAATCATTTGTTCCAGCCGCGCCTCAGCCGGAGGCGGGACACCGGCTGGACACCGCGGGCCACCGGACGCCAGTCCAGAATCATTTGGTCGTGCCGCGCCTCAGCTACAGGAGACTTTCTTCTCGCCCGCCCACGCAGCTTCGCCTCGCCCGCACGCACGGCACGCACGAACACGAAACCGAAATCGATTTCCCGTCAGGGGGGCTCTCCGTTCCACTTCGACCGTAGCCCGGGTTGCCTGGACGCGCGTGCGGACTGCCTCTGCCGCGCTGCGACGCCAAAAGTGTGTGTGTGGTGCATTCGCGTGCATGCGCGTGTGAGTGTGTGTGTGTGTGACCTGAGCAGGACCAGAAAGCTTGCCGCGGCAGGCTCGCTGGGCGCCTCGCTGGGTGGCCAGGGGCCCGCGTGCGAAAGGCCCGTGGCGACTGGCCCCGGGCTGGGCCTCCCGATGCCTCGCGGGCGCAGCGGGGGGCCAGCCGTGGTAGCCACCGGCTCTGCCGGGATGTGCTCCTCGAGGCCTCCGAGGCCGCTCGGCCGGGCCGGCGGGGCGACGACTCCGCGATCGCAGTCTCGTGGGCCCTTGCCTGCTCCTCGGGATCGATCGGGCGGCCTGTCCTGTCTTTCTCCTCTCGCCCCCTCTGTCCTGCGCGTTGTCCTTCGCGTCCCTCCTTCCATCCGCCCCGCCCTTCCACCCCTGATTCCCCATCTTTGTCCCCCCCGCCCTGTCAACGTCGTCCCGTCCTCTGCGCCCTTCGCCCCTCCCTTGTAGAAGCTCTCCCCGCTCCCCTCCCGTCGCTACGTATCTTTACTTTCTCGCGCCCACGTCGCACCTGCTGCCACGCTCCATGTCGCCCCCTCCCACGTACTCCCCCCTGCTCCTCTACGTCCTTCCCCCTGCTTCCTATGCTCTCCCGCCGCAGCATGCAGGTGAACCCACCAGAGCCGCTGGCGATCATCGACATTGAGCTCTTCACTGTCATTGCCAAGCACCCGCGCTGCGCTTCCAGGCCCATCGCCCGCACTCACCGTCGCCTCTATGCGCTGCTGTTCTCTTTTGATCAGTCGCTGCGCGGTCTCCATCAGCCCGGCCCTACATGCATTGAACCAGGGAGGTCATCTTTCAACGAGGGGGTCGCGACCGAGACTCGGAGGAAAGCCCACGGTGCCACAACCAAGAGGAGCGGAAGCGGCCCAACACGCATGTCATATTGTGTTTTGTTTTTGTCTGGCCCGTTATGTTGTGGTATGTATTGATGTGGACGAGGTTGATAAGGTATGCTCCGATCTGACACTTTCGCTTCGGGCTTGCTTTCTTCTTGCCCAGCTGAGTTCGACAGTAGCCGTTTCTTATTGAGTATGCGATGTATTGGCGTGCTCTCGTTTGCTACTGCTCGTCCTGGTCCAATCAGTGCTGCTACAGCGGCGCTCTGCACTAGTCTGCTCTGCGCTGATATGACATGTACTGCACCTGTCTGCTATGGTGTTTCAGGTCTGCTCTGGTTTGCTCTGGGCTCCTTCTCAGGGTGCGCGCCGTCTTCTGCACCTGATCCTCATACTCCTATCACGGATGTGCTGCTGTCCTTCCTGATGAGAAGTCCGGGCAGCAAGCCTCGGTGAGAGTAAAGGATTTATCGCATGACGTACAGCATCATATCTTTCATAACAGTGCAACTCAGGTGTAGATCACTCGGCAGAGTCACACAGCCAACGACATATAATTCTTGCCGGTTGCATTGCGATCCGCAAGCGTTGGGCGATTTAGAATGATGGATTCGGGTGGTCCCGAACGAGTCTTAGAGGTTTCCAACACATGTCTCCAGAAGATTTTGGAGGGGTTTGGTTTTTTTTCTCCTGTGGCCCCGAAAGGTCCTTCGGGACCCTAGGCGGGATCTGGAGTTGTGCCCCGATAGTCCACGAGTCCGCGCAAACGTATCTCCCCGACCCTGGAGGCGTCTGGAGTCGACCTTGGAGCCCAGAGGCCGATGCTAACGCCGTTGCCGACGCTGACATCGACGCTTATGCGACTGCTGACGCCGACGCTAACGCTTGAGCTGGCACTGACGACGACATCGGCGATGAGAAATACGACCACGACCACGACGACCACGACCACGACGACCACGACGACCATGAATACTACGACGACCACGACTACGACCACGACCGCGACGACGTCCGCTCCACTCGGTGCAGACTCGCTGCTTGGCCGCCTTGGTCGCGGCCGCGGGCCAAGGCACGCCGAGATGCTCGCGCAGGTGCTGGCGCGCTGCAGCGTGGAGAGCGCCGACACGGGCCGCGCCGCGGCCGTGCCGCTGCTGGCCGTCCTGCACCGCTTCGGCGAGGACAGCGTCCAGCCTGAGCTTTCGAGCCTCGGACGGCGTGCAAGAGCGGGTGGGGACCAAGGGGGGGGGGGGCGTGGATACCACGGCTAGGAGCCACGACATCTTCAAGATGCCAAGGCAGACAGGCCCCCTCCTCTTCTCTCAGTGCGCTCCCTGGAGCTCCTCTCGTCCGCGCACACGGGCCATGATGCGCTGGCCCTCCTCTTCCCAGCCCCCCTCACGTCGTCATCGTCGTCGTTGTTGTTGTGATTGATGTTTGTTGTTGTTGTTGTTGTTGTTGGTGGTGGTGGTGGTGGTGGTGGTGGTGGTGGTGGTGGTGGTGGTGTTGATGTTGTTGTTGTTGTTGTTGTTGTTGTTGTTGTTGTTGTTGTTGTTGTTATGGTGGTTGTGGTGGTTGTGGTTGTGGTTGTTGTTGTTGTTGTTGGTGGTGGTGGTGGTGAAGACTCATTTCTAGAGAATGATTATTGCGGATCTCTAGAAACGGTTCCGCGCGCTCTCGCCTCGACGTTGGCTGGAATTCCTTTGAAAACGATGCTCTCGCTCTAGCACGGGCTTGATTGTAAATGCATGTCCTTGGAGGCCCGGCTGCAACGACAACGGCTCCCGTTCGATATTTCCTCACATTTTACCCCGAGACACCCTGACCAGAGAGGCACCCGAACTCAGGAACGGCATTCTCGCTCGAAAACTCCTCGCAATTCAGTCAAATTGGTGGAGGCCCAGCCTCGACGACAAGGACTCCTGCTCGATACATCCGGCCAGGAAAACCCCCGAACTCAGGAACGGCGATCTCGCTCGAGGCTTTTTCGTGATTCAGTCAACTTGGTAGTGGCCCAACTACGACGACAAGGGCTCTCGTTCGATACTGCCTCAAGATGTATTCGCAGAGGCCCTTGCCAGAGAGGCACTCGAACTCGAGAGTGTCGCTCTCGCTCGAGACTTTCTCGTAATTCAGGCAAGTCGGCGGAGGCTCAGACACGGCGACAAGGGTTCCCGTTCGATATTTCTCAATCTGTATACCGTGAGCCCCTGGCCAGAGAGGCCCCCGAACTCAGGAACGGCGCTCCCGCTCGAGAGTTCGTCGCATCTCAGTCAGTGGCCGACGAGGAAGATCAGAGTGAGGGGGCCGAACGGTCATTCATTGTCCCTGGGTGCGTGGCTGAAGTGGGGATCCGTGGTGAGGATTCTGCTTGCTGCGTTAATGTTGTTGTTGTTTGCTTGTTTGTTTGTTTGTTTGTTTGTTTGTTTGTTTGTTTGTTTGTTGTCGTCTTCCCACCCGCGACCCACCCCGCGACCAACCCTTCGACCCATCCCACGACCCACCTCGCGACCCACCCGCGACCCACCCGCGACCCACCCACGACCCGACCGCGACCCACCCCGTGACCCACCCGCGACCTACCCCGCGACCCATCCGCGACCCATCCGCGACCCACCCCGTGACCCACCCGCGATCCACCCGCGACCCACTCGCGACCCACCCGTGACCCACCCCGCGACCCAGCCGCGACCCATTTGCGACCCACCCGCGACCCAACAGCGACCTACCACGCGACCCAGCCGCGACCCATTTGCGACCTACCCGCGACCCACCCGCGACCTACCCACATTGGTTTGACGAAAAGTTCGGCGCCTGCGGCGGGCTCGTTGCACAATTCGTGAAACTTTGACGCCCGCGGCGGGCTCCTCCAGAGTCTCGCAGACTGCCGACGCCCCCACCGCCCCCATCGCTCTTATCCGCATCTGCGGGGTGCTACGTATTCCCCCCGAAAGGGGGTGCGATCGAAGACGAAGTGGGCGGGTGTCAAAAGTTTGGGGTCTACAGAATGCGAGACACGCGTGCCAGTAAGAGCGAACAATCTCAACATGGTTGTTGTTGTGGTGGTGGTGGTTGTTGTTGTTGGTGTTGTTGGTGTTGTTGTTGTCGTCGTCGTCGTCGTCGTCGTCGTCGTCGTCGTCGTCGACTTTCTGGGCGTGTTCGGTGGGGCGTTCTGCGGAGGCTCTCGTCGGGCGCCACGGCTGGGCGCCGCTCCGGGCACCTGGTCGGGGTGTGCACCCCAGGGCCGATTGCAGACCAGATTGTGGAGGATTGCCATGAATCGGCGGCGAGCGAGGGGAGAAGTGAGAAGGAGGAGGCCTCCTCGGAAGGCGAGGAGGCTTCTCAGAAGCCTCTCGGGCCCTCCGAGAGGTTTCCTGTGTCTCTGGGGGAGGCGCAGAGAACTTCTCAGAAGGCCAGAGGGCTTCCGAGCCTTCGAGAAGGCCCGCCTCCTCTCGCTTCCCCGCGGGGCTGGCCGCCGAATGAACAGAATACGTCTCGCGGTAGAGGTGTCGTGAAGGATTTTCCTTGATCTCAGCCCAGGCGCGAGGACCGTCACAAGGCGAGCCGGGATGCAAAGCTGGTCCTGAGAAACGCCCCAGGGTCAGGGGTGAGATCTAACCAGGATTCCGAAGCGAATTCATAGGCGACGAGGGCTCCCCAGGAGGCCCCCAAAAAAGGCGAGGACGAGAAAAAGGGATCGGTGTCGGCTTGAGTTTCTCTCCCCTGAAAAATATTCCTTGCCCAACTCGGAAGCGCGACGGCCGCTGCGGAACCCACGGCCCACGGCCAATCACAAGCAGCGTCAGCCGTCCCCAGGACGAGACGATCGTGGCCTTCTTCGAGAGGTTCACCCAGGCATTGGAGCGCGGGTTGGAGGGAAAGACGAGGGAAATGAGGCAGGCCGAAGGACCCGTTTCGAACTGTCTCGCGGCACCGGCTGCGCTGGAGGTGCAGAAAGAGGAAGGTTTGGTGGATCTGTCCCCACGTCGTGTCCTTCTCCAGTTCCTGGGCCGTCTTAGAGCCTGGGGCCCTTGCTGCTCCCCTCGGGAGCGGCCAAGAGGGGGGTGATGACTAGGGGTGTGTGGATATCATGGCGGGGGCCATGCTATCTCCCCAGAGTTTATGGCGCCTCTTCTTAGTTCGTTACGTCCCCGCCCCCACCCCTGGGCCGCGCACATGCCGCCCGTCATGATTTGCGCCCCACCCTCTTGGACGCCCCCCTCTTGAACGCCTCCGAGCCCCGCCTGGGTCACCTGGGCCACGACCGCCTCTACAGTCGGCACGGCCTGCCAGAAGGTGTCCAGCCGACAGTATCTTACGAGCCCTGTGGCCCCAGGAGAGGCTCCAGCGAGCCCTGGACCGCCCCTCGGTCAGCCCAAGGCTCCTGCGAGCGGGCCGCCCCTGGATCTCTTGCAGCAGTGCCTCTTGCCCTCGGGGCGATCGACGTGGGTACGGACGGCTCGGTACGACGACCGACAGCATTTCCCTGATCATCTTGAAGAGGACTCGCTGTCGGTGTCGCCGCGGACGTGGTCCATTTTGGACATAAGGCCGCCTACCCAACAGCGGCCGTCGTCTGTTGCAGACACCATTTGCAGCAGCAGTGCCGCTTACCCGTGTGTGGCTCTTGCTTCCGCGCACGGGTGCGGGCAGTGCCGCGCCGAGCCCGTCGCACGCCCGCGCGGCGGAGGTCGCGCTCGCGCGGCTGCTCCAGCGGCACACGCCGCAGCGGCACACCACGCAGATTCTCGAGGCGCCCGGCTGCTCCAGGCAGTGATTGACAGGACCCCCACCTCCCCTCCAGACTCCTACGTCACCCCCCCGCTCGTTCCCCTCCACGCGACGACGCCGTCGACGACGACGACGCAGACGCCGAAGCCGACGCCGACGCCGACGCCGACGCTGACGCCGACGCCGAAGACGACGACAACGACACCGACTCCTACGCCGACGCCGACGACGACGACGACGCAGACGACGACGACGACGCCGACGCCAACAAAGACTACGACGACGGCGACGACGACGCTGACGCCGACGACGACGTCGAAGCCGACGACGACGCCGACGCCGACGACGACGACGACGCCGCCTCTTACATTTCCCCCCGCGCCCCTTTACACAACAAAGCCGTCGACGACACCGACGCGGTCGCCGACGCCGACGCCGACGCCAACGACGGCTCCGACGACGACGACGACGACGACGACGGACGACGACGAAGAAGACGACGACGACGACGACGACGACGACGACGACGACGACGACGACGACGACTACGCCGATGCCGACGACGCCGACGACGACGACGCCGACGCCGACGCCGACGCCGACGACGAGGCCGACGACAGCGCCGACGCCGACGCCGGCGCCGAAGACGACGACGCCCCAGACGCAGACGCCGACGCCGACGCCGATGCCGACGCCGACGACGACGCCGACGCCGACGCCGCAGACGAAGACGAAGACGACGACGACGACGCCGACGCCGACGCCGACGCCGACGCCGACGCCGACGCCGACGCCGACGACTGGTGACGCCGCCTGCGCCGCCGACGACGCAGACACTGACGCCGACGCCGACGCCGACGCCGACGACGACGACGCCGACGCCGACGCCGACGCCGACGCCGACGCCGACGACGCCCCAGACGAAGACGACGACGCCGACGTCGACGCCGACGCCGACGCCGACGCCGACGCCGCCGCAGACGAAGACGAAGACGACGACGACGTCGCCGACGCCGACGCCGACGCCGACGCCGACGCCGCCGCAGACGAAGACGAAGACGCCGACGCCGACGCCGACGCCGACGCCGTCGCTGATGTCACCGCCTACGCCACCTACGCCGCCGACGACGCAGACGCTGACGCCGACGCCGACGACGACGCCGACGCCGACCCTGTTGCCGGCTCCGACGCCGACGCCGACGCGGATGCCGACGACGACGACAGCGACGAAGACGAAGACGACGACGACGACGACGACATCGCCGACGCCAACGCCAACCACGACGACGATGCCGACGCCGACGACGATCACGACGACTTTACGTTTCCCCCCGCGCTATTTTACCTCACATCGCCGTCCACGACGACGACGCCGACACCGACGCCCCAGACGACAGCGCCGGGAACGCCGCCGACGACGACGACGACAACGACGGCGACGACGCTCCAGTCTAGACGACGACGCCGTCGACGACGACGGCGCAGACGCCGACGCCGACGACGCCGACGACGACGACGACGACGACGACTCTTACATTTCCCCCGCGCCCCTGTATATTACGACGACGACGCCGACGCCGTCGCCGACTTCGATGACGCCGACGACGACGGCGACGGCGACGACGCCGACGACGCCGACGACGACGGCGACTGCGACGACGCCGACGACGCCGACGCCGACGACTTCGACAACGGCGACGCTGACGACGACGCCGACGCCGACGCCGACGACGACGACGCCGACGCGGATGACGACCACGACGAAGACGACGCCGACGCCGACGCCGACGCCGAAGACTACGACGACCATGCCGTCGACGACGCCGACGCCGACGCCGACAACGACGCCGCCGATGACGGCGACGTCGCCGTCGCCGACGCCGACGCCGACGACGACGACACTGCCGTCGACGACAACGCCGACGCCGAAGACGACGACGACGACAACGACGCCGACGCCCACGACAATCGCAAGGACGGCGACCCCGACGCTGACGACGACGACGCCGACTCCTACGTTTCCATCCGTGCACCTTTACGCGTCGATACCGTCGACGACGCCGACGACGACGACGACGACGCTGTCACTGACGTCGACGCCGACGACGTCCACGACGCCGACGCCGATGCCGACGCCGACGCCGACGCCGATGCCGACGGCATGGTAATGGTGTAATGGTGAAATGGTGTATTGGTGTAGCGCTTACACCCCCCATCAAAATGGTGTAATGATGTAATGGTGTAACGGCGCGCCCTTTCGACAGAATGGTGTAATGGTATAAGGGTGCATGCTTAACACCATTCCAGAGAATAGTGTAATGGTGCAAGTTTCAGTTATCAGATCCAGTGCGCGTCCACGCTGAGCGCCGCCTTCGTCTCGGAACTGAGCGTCCCAGGTGTCGCGCTCAACGGCAGGGAGTGGGCCGAGGCGGTGCGCTTTCGCCTGGGCCGGCCAGTTGGTATCAGCCCAGGGGCGGCATGCCTCAACGAGAAGACTTCCACTGGCGCTGCGTGCGGCGAGCAGCTCGACCAGCACGGCGACCACGCGGCGCAGTGCCAGTGCGGCCTTTTTCCGCACCATGCGCCACGAGAGCATCGCCGATGTCTAAGGGGACGTCATGGCCGAGACCGGCGGGCATGTGCGGCGCGAGGTTTTCGCGCCAGAGTTCTCGCAAGGGGCCTCTGAGGCTTGGCTGGACGTGTGGTGCCACGGGGTCCCAGAGATTCCCGACGTCACCATCCGCCATCGCGTCGCGGACCGCTACCAGCCGGCCGCAGCCCGTGCTGCTGGCTGGCAGCACGGCGCTGGCCGCGGAGGGGGGAGAAGCAGGACCGCTATCCAGCCACGCGCGGCTGCTGCGTCTGGCCAGCGGCCCACGAGACGTTCGGCCGGCTGGGCGAGCGTACGGAGGCCCTCCTGGTCCACTGCGCGGCGGCTGTTGCCTGGCGCGCGTGCCGCCACGGCTGGCTGCATGGCAGCTGCCTGCGCCGCTGGCGCGCGCAGTTGGGCGCGGCGCTTCCTCGCGGAGTCGCCGCGCAGCTGCTGGCTGCCTGGTGCGGCGTGCGGGGCCGTGCGCGACGGAGGGCACCGCAGGCGGACAGGCGCCTGGTGGAGGCGCGGGGCCGCTGACTGAGGCCACACTGCTGCGACATTGTCAGATGGTTTCAGCTTGGGCGCAGCACGGACGACCGCCAGTGGAGTGAGGAGGAACAGCACGACGTGACAGGGGAGTTAGGGGAGACAGAAAGGGGGGAGGAGGAGGAGGAGGCGGAGGAGGAGGAGGAGGAGGAGGAGGAGGAGGAACAGGAACAGGAACAGGAGGAGGAGGAGGAGGAGGAGGAAGAAGAAGAGGAGGAGAAAGAGAGAGGGAACACGACAAGGACAAGGCGTTGGGGGGAGGGTTGAAGTCAGATAGGAGGAGGCGGAGGAGGAGTTGGAGGAGGAGGAGGAGGAGGAGAAACGCATCGTTCAGATGATGATTACTCTGACGTGTCTGCGGCTCGAGAAAATCATTCCCGGCCTGCCAGGGTCGAAGGGCGACCATCCCTCCCCTCCCTGGGCCCTGGGCAGGCTCGCGGCTAGCTCCAATGTCCTCCTGATATCCCTTCACCCCTCCGCTCTCTCCTCTACACATTTCGTGCCCTCCTCGTCCCTCTCCCCGCTCCTCTCCTCCTTCTCCTTCTCCTTCTCTAGATCGTCCAGATTCTCAGGCTGATGATCTGACATGAAAGAAAACATCATCCAGTCATCCAGATCCTATGTTCGTTCTCCTCCTCCCCCCCAATCCCCGTCCTCCTCCCCTCCTGCCGCTTCCCCGTCTCCAATCCTCTCCCCTTGTGGACTGCGACCCTCAGGACGCAGCCAGCTCCTGCATGTCTTCTATCTTGAATCCTTCTCCCCCCTAAACGTAGGCCCCCCAGAGATCTGGACCCTTCCCCTGGGATCGGCATGTCATCCCGAGTCATTTTCGAATGTCCCGCGGCCTGGCGAGAGCCCCGGGGGCCCCGAAATGGCCGAAATCCTTCTGCCGTGATTGCCTGACGACGCGAGGGGGTCCCTTCTCGCCTCCCCTGCCTCCTGGGCGGAAGCGATATCCGTATCCGCGGCGCGGCCCCGCGGATACGGGGCGCCGTTTCGCGGATGCCCCGCGCGGAACGTAGCCGGGCGACCGCACAAATACCCGCGGGATCGCGCCCTGGGATCCAGCCCGCGAGGGACCGCCGCTCGTGTTTGCCCCCCCGCCCTCCCCGCGCGAGAGGTGTTCGCGAAGGTGGCCTGCCTCGCCGGGGCGCGGCGGCTCCAGGACGCCCTGCGCACGCTGCTCTGGGAGGCCCACGCCCGACGAATCCGGCGCGCGCTCCCGCGCGGAGGGGTGGGGACGGGCGGGCGGACGGCTGCAGCGAGAGGGCGGGGGGGCGGACGGCTGGATCTGGGCCTCCCAGATGTGGGGTCGGAGGATCGAGGGGAGCAGAAAGTGACATAAACATAAAAACTCGGAGGTCCGCGCGGATTTCTCGGATCGGCGCCGGGGCCCCCCGGCGGCGCCTCCGGCGCCGCCCCTGGCGCGCTGCGCGCGCCAGGGAGGGGGGTCCAGCGCGGATCCGAGAAATCCGCGCGGACCTCAGAGTTTTTATGTTTATGTCACTTTCTGTTCCCCTAGGGTCGCGCCGCATCGCTGGTGCATCGCCGATGCGGCTCCACGTGCAGCCAGCATTCTTCCACGCCGATGGCGCCGATGCATCGGCGAGGCGGCGCGATCCTCCGACCCCATCGGCTCCGACCCCATCTTAGAGGCCTCTACTGGAGCGAGCCGATGGGGGAACGGACGGGCACCCGACCAGCGCGTGCGCGCTTGTGGGGGGGGGAGGGGCGGCCGCCCCTACCCCTCGCAGGGTGGCCATGGCAGGCACGGACTGCTCATCTTCCTTGCCGTGCAAAGTAAATTACCCAATGGGGAATCCGCAAGGGCCTCGCCCCCTGCCGCCAGTCCCCTCTCTCGGAGAATGGGGCATGCAAGGGCTATGTTGTGAGGCCTGGGCGCCGTCTTGAAGCAGCGTCGGCTCTTTGAGCGCTCTTAGGCGCCTTGGAGCACTGTTGGGCCGTCTCGAGGGCCTCTCGTATTGTCTTGGGGGCCTTTGATGCAGGATTGTGGCCTCGAAGCGAGGACACTGCATACTTTATGAGGGTTTATGATTTCGGGGACGCGAAGAACATATACTTTCAAATGGATCGTGGCTTCGGGGCCGCACGTACCGCATATGTTACGAGAGAGCGTTACCTCGGAAACGCGACCACCGCGTAAGTTACGAAGAATCATAGTTCCGGAAGCTCGAACAAAGTGTAATTCGCGGGGCGTCGTGGCCTCGGGGACGCGAAGATTGTTTAAAGGGGATTATGGCTTCGGGGGCACGAACGTTGGGTACTTTACAAGGGATTGTGGACTCGGGGGCGCGAATCTCACGACATTTTACATGTCCCAGGACCCAAATTCTGAGAACCCCCCAGGTAAAGGGAACAGGCGAGGTTTTTGGTCCCCACCCCCTCGCGCGGACTCGAAGAATTCACATTACACTTGAGAAAACCCCGATCAGTGGATGATTTGAAAATTGATACTATGGATCTTGAGATCGATTGTGAGATCGATAATGAGATCGATCGTGGAGTCGATAGTGAGGACGATTGTAAAGTCGATCGTGAGACCGAGAGTGACATCGATTCGATGAGATCGATAGTGAGATCGATCGCGAGATCGCTCATGCGATCTCTAGTGAGATCGCTTGTGAGAGTGGTAGTGAGATCGATTGTGAGATCGATGGTGAGATCGACCGAGAAGTCGGTAATGAGATCGATGGTGAAACCGATCGATAAGAAGATCGACCAGGAACCCGGGAACCCGGGAACCTCGCCGCCCTCCGAAATCGGCCTGGAACCGGGAACCCGGGAACCCGGAACCCAGAACCTGGGAACCCGGGAACCCAGCCTGCCACCAAAATCGGCGGGGAATGTTTGCCAAATCCTTCAACATCCGCTAGGACCCCTTCAGTGCAAGCATTGATTGGGGAACTAGGAAGCAGAACACCGAATTGTAAGATCGGAGCCTGGACACTGGAACTGGAGCAGGGAGCAGTACGCCTAAGCCGCGGAGCCTGATGGCCCCGCAAGGGGGCCAGCGGAGATGTCGGGATCAGTCTCGTGGGCGTGGTATTGTGTGTGTCGGTGTTGTCGTGCTCAGTACGTCGTTCCCCTTCATTGGAGCCACATTGATGTGGTGTGAAGATTGTCAGCAAGAAGAAGGTTTTGGGGATGCCGTTGGTTGTGGTGTCTGTCGTGACGGTACTGGTTGTTGTTTTGTTGGTTGTGTGTGGGCGCTGGTAGCCAGTGTGTGCTACAAGGGGGTCTGGATGCGGAGGTCTTGAATAGCCACTGCAGAATAGAAGTCGCCATCCCTCTCCCCATCCGCACCCTCGCTGCTCTGTCTGCCGGTCGGCATCGATCCCTCACCTGCCTCCTCTTCCTCCTCGTACGCCGCGGCCGGTCGCTGGATCGCCTGCGGCCCGACAGTGCTGGGCTGCCGCGGGCATGACGCGACGACCATCGACGGGGGCTGCTGCCCTGGCTTTCAGCTGTACGCAGGGCCGGGCGTCTGCTACGACTTCACCTGCCAGAGCAAGCTGCAGTACGGCTGCGGCGGTTACGCATCCGTTGCGCCAGTGTGCACAGAGGACCCATCCTCAGCCGCAGCCGATCTCGGAGCGGACCATAATGGCACGGTGATCAGGTGCACCAAGGAAGGCGCGGTGTGCTACGACCTCGACGTCCAGCCTGTCTCTGGAAAGTGGGCATTCGATCCAGTTGCCTGCGGCAAGCCCGCTGCTGTGCCGCGGAGCAGCGGAGCAGGGTTGGTGCCCTGTCTTGTCTGGCGCGGATCTCAAGCACTTTCTCGATGTCCTCTGTCTTTGAATCGCTCCTCTCATCATCCTTCATGAACCTCGAAGGCGTCATGGTCGCTCTGGGGTTTGTCAGTGGCCAGTCGGGTGCCCCGGGGTCGTCTTGGGCGCGATGGTCCTACCCTTGAGTCGGGCCTGTCCTTCTACAGGGGGGATCTTCAAAGATAGTCAAAAAATAGTATGGGGACTATTTCCCCACATCCAAAGTGGGGTTCTTGTTTTCTCTGCACACCCCGCGCAGGAACACTCACCCCACCCCCTCTCCTCTTCTGCCTTCGCACACTCACTCACTCACTCATCATCATCACCACTCACTCACACTCACACTCACCCACACTCTCTCATCATCAACATCAGCATCATCACTCGCGCTCTCTCACACGCTCAGTCACTCACATACTCATCATCATCATCATCATCATCATCATCATCATCATCATCATTATCATCATTCCCCACATCCTAAGTGGGGTTCTTGTTCCCCACATCCTAAGTGGGGTTCTTGTTTTCTCTGCACACCCTCCGCGCAGGATCTCTCCTCCTCCTCCCTCTCCTCTGCTCCTCTTTGCTTCCTCCTCCGCATCATCATCACCATCACCATCGCTCCCCACTCATCATCATCATCATCACCATCAGCATCACCATCACCATCGCACGATCACTCACCGTCATCGGCATCGAACGATCCTCATCATCATCATCATCATCATCATCATCATCATCATCACTACTCGCTGATTTGAGGCCTGAATAAGGAGGAAATATCAGGCGGGAGCTTCGTCTGTGAGTGAATTGTGAGGAAGTCTCAGGCGGGAGCCCCCTCCCTATGGGGCCCGCACTTCATGTTCGAATCCGAGCGGGTCATCCGCAACGTGCAACTGTCGTCACTTTTGGGCTCTTGAGACCTGAATATGGAGGAAGTCTCGAGCGGGAGCCTCGTCTGTGAGTGAATTGCGAGGAAGTCTCAGGCGGGAGCCCCCTCCCTATGGGGCCAGCGCTTCATTTTCGAATCCGAGCGGGTTATCCACAACGTGTAACTGTCGTCACTTTTGGGCTCTTGAGGCCTGAATGTGGAGGAAGTATCAGGCGGGAGCCTCGTCTGTGAGTGAATTGCGGGGAAGTCTCAGGCGGGAACCCCATCCCTATGGGGCCCGCACTTCATGTTCGAATCCGAGCGGGTCATCCGCAACGTGCAACTGTCGTCACTTTTGGGCTCTTGAGACCTGAATATGGAGGAAGTCTCGAGCGGGAGCTTCGTCTGTGAGTGAATTGTGAGGAAGTCTCAGGCGGGAGCCCCCTCCCTATGGGGCCCGCACTTCATGTTCGAATCCGAGCGGGTCATCCGCAACGTGCAATCGTCGTCACTTTTGGGCTCTTGAGACCTGAATATGGAGGAGTCTCGAGCGGGAGCCTCGTATGTGAGTGAATTGCGAGGAAGTCTCAGGCGGGAGCCCCCTCCCTATGGGGCCCGCACTTCATGTTCGAATCCGAGCGGGTCATCCGCAACGTGCAATCGTCGTCACTTTTGGGCTCTTGAGACCTGAATATGGAGGAAGTCTCGAGCGGGAGCCTCGTCTGTGAGTGAATTGCGAGGAAGTCTCAGGCGGGAGCCCCCTCCCTATGGGGCCCGCACTTCATGTTCGAATCCGAGCGGGTCATCCGCAACGTGTAACTGTCGTCACTTTTGGGCTCTTGAGGCCTGAATATGGAGGAAGTATCAGGCGGGAGCCTCGTCTGTGAGTGAATTGTGAGGAAGTCTCAGGCGGGAGCCCCCTCCCTATGGGGCCCGCACTTCATGTTCGAATCCGAGCGGGTCATCCGCAACGTGCAACTGTCGTCACTTTTGGGCTCTTGAGACGTGAATATGGAGGAAGTCTCGAGCGGGAGCCTCGTCTGTGAGTGAATTGCGGGGAAGTCTCAGGCGGGAGCCCCCTCCCTATGGGGCCCGCACTTCATGTTCGAATCCGAGCGGGTCATCCGCAACGTGTAACTGTCGTCACTTTTGGGCTCTTAAGACCTGGATATGGAGGAAGTCTCGAGCGGGAGCCTCGTCTGTGAGTGCATTGCGAAGACGTCTCAGGCGGGAGCCCCCTCCTTATGGGGCCAGCACTTTATTTTCGAATCCGAACGGGTTATCCACAACGTGCAACTGTCGTCACTTTTGGGCTTTTGAGACTTGAATATGGAGGAAGTCTCGAGCGGGAGCCTCGTCTGTGAGTGAATTGTGAGGAAGTCTCAGGCGGGAGCCCCCTCCCTATGGGGCCCGCACTTCATGTTTGAATCCGAGCGGGTCATCCGCAACGTGTAACTGTCGTCATTTTTGGGCTGTTAAGACGTGAATACGGCCCAGCCCGAAGGTTTGCCCCGACGACTTCGCGATCTAGCCGTCGGCAGACGCGCGCGCGCGCTGGCCGAGGCGGCGACGGCGCTGAGGAAAATGGATTTGCTTGCCCCGACGAGGGGGAAGGGGAGGTGCACATGGAGAAAAGGCGGGGGGATGAGGAGGGAAGGGGCATGGGGGAGGCCGACGACGAGGAGGAGGTGGCGCGAGAGGAGGAGGAGGAGGAGGAGGAGGAGGAGGAGGAGGAGGAAGAGGAGGAGGAGGAGGAGGAGGAGGAGGAGGAGAAAGAGGAGGAGGAAGAGAAATAGAAGGGGGAAGAGAGGGCAGCGCAGGGGGCGAGAGGAGAGGGTGTCCGCCAGGGGGAGGAGGAAAAGGCAAAGGGTAAGCTAAACAGATTCTCGTGTGGGGTCCTACCGTCGGAGGATTTGTTTTTGCAATTTTGGAATATTTTTGGAGTATGTTTTATTTGTCGTCGAAGATCCCCCTGTTGGAGGGACACGCCCGACTTAATCCTACCTGGTTGTTTTCCGAAGCGGCGCCGTGGAGCCAACCGGGGCGCTCCAAAACGAGCCTCGCCTTCGAGGGGTCGAGAAGCTGGCAGCTCTTCCTCGGCGGAAGGCGGCCAGGTGCTGACGGAAGGCGGCGAACGAAAAACTGAGGTGCCTCCGCTGGCGGAAGGCCGGCGGAAATTCGCCGGCCCAACCGGCCAAGGGCGTGCTAAGATCTCCTACTTATCTTCCTCCTCCTCTCCTTCTCATCCTCTCCTCTTCCTCCCCTCCCCTTCCCCATCCTCATCTTCCTCCTCCTCGGCGGCGCCACAACGGCCCCGGGCCCACGGCGAAGCAGTAGCGATCATGCAACATGAGCTTGCGGAGTGAGCGAAGCGATTGAATGAACATCTGCCCTCCAAGACACATTTTCCTGGGGGGGTCGGGGTTTCTGGAACGAGACATCTCGAGGCGGTCTTCGAGCCTGCTCAGGGAGGTCCGGGGCCGTCTCTGAGGGGTCTATGGGCGCTTTCTGTTGGCCGTGCCGGTGTAGCCTGTTGGCGCCATCGGATGCTGTCTCGGGGGGTATCGGGGGCCTTCTGGACTCTGGCGGCCACCTCGGGCAGAAACGCCCAATCGTCGAGAGCAGTTCAACACTGTCGTGTTGGCTTTCTGTGTGTTGGACCCCGGGAGCCTTGCCGAAGGCCCCCCTGAGGCGCCTGTCGGGGGCTCCCGGTCCTTCTTTCTTGGGGGTTTTGTGGGCCCTCTTCACGGAAGCCTTCCAGGAAGTATCATGGACCATCCAGGGGCTCGTGTGGCCAACTTGGATTCGTCTTGTCCGAGGGCCCGTCTTGGGCTCCCGAGAGGCTGCTCTGGACCGAGGTAGCAGAGCGATCTCTGAGGGACGCTCGCGGCAGAGACTTCTCCGGACAGCTGACGGGTACCCTGACACGCCTGGGAGTTCTGAGGGCACACGCCGGCGGATTCCGATTTCAGATACGGGGGCAGGATGTACCTCGCGAGCGGCTGCGCATACGCTGTCCACGCAAGCGGGGCCGTGGGCGGGCGCGGCCTGGCGGCGCCGCTGCCAGGGCTGCTACTGCTCGCGGCAGGGCTGCCCGCAGCTGCGTAGAAGTTCATGCGGACTTGGCTTGCTCGTCCACGGCGACGTGTGTCTCGCTTGTCTGGGTGACTTGCTAGCCCCTCGGCGTCACAGCCATCCTGAGTGACGGGACTTCGGCAAGGAGCGAGATGTGCGGCTGGGTTGCGTGAGGGCATGCGTCGTCTCGTGGCGCCTGTACAGCAACGCGAGCGAGCGCACCGCGATTACATGGTGCAGCAGCCGTCTCAGAGTATCTCTCACCAGGCAGTCGGGCGGACATGGGGCAACGATTTGCACCCAGGCTTGCGTCACATAAGCTGTCGCGACACAGCGGCTTTCGGCCGAAGAAGCTGCCGTCCCCTGCTAGACTCATCTCAGCGTCCAGTCCAGGCAGGATGGGGAGGGAGTAACCCTCCCCCTTCGACCGTGTGCAGACGCAACTGGAAAAGAGGGAAGTATCCTGCGGCGGCAGGCGCTCCCAACGAAACAAGAGAGGGCGAGACCCCCCGACAACGCTCGGGGGCCTGCACCGGAGGTGCGGATGTTGGCCATGAGCATGTTGCTTCTTCCAGGGTCGTCGTTGCGAGCTCGTGGATTGGCAAGCCCCTCAGTGCGTCCCTGCTCCTCTCGCCCCCCAGGCCGGAAGGCGGACGAGGCGAGGTGCAGAGCTCCGCTGCAAACATGCTCCCATCAGACGCTTGCGTGGTGGCAGTGGCGATGCCAGCTCGCAGGCAAGACATCTCTTCTGTGCGCCCGTGGCCCACCAGGCCCTGGAGTAGCTCCTGGCGGCGCGCCCCAAGCTACCCCAGCGCACCGCGCCAGCGTTTTTCCCAGCAATTTCAGAGAGGTCAGGACGGGGCCAGCGTTTCGACTTCACGGGCTCCTCCTCCTCCTCCTCATCCTCGACGGCTCTCTCGCGCCCGCCACCGACTGATGCTGATGCTGGTGCTAATGCTGCTGGTGGTGCTGATGCTGCTCATGCTTATCCTGGTGCTGCTGATGATGCTGCTGCTGATCATGGTGGTAGTGAGTGATGGTGATGGTGTTGGTGTTGGTGCTGGTGGTGGTGATCTTGGCGTTGACGACGACGACGATGATGTTGATACTGATACTGATGGTGATGGTGATGATGATGATGATGATGATGTTGATGATGATGATGATGATGATGATGATGATGATGATGATGATGCTGATGATGATGATGATGATGATGATGATGAGGAGGAGGAGGAGGAGGAGGAGGAGGAGGATGAGGATTATGAGGATGAGGATGAGGATGAGGATGATGAGGAGGATGAGCATGATGAGGATGATGGGGATGATGAGGATGATGAGAATGATGAAAGGTGGAGACAGAAGAGGGGCAGGTAGATGAGGGAGCGACATCCAGATGCCGGCCCACCTCTCCTGCCCGCTCACCGCCTTCCCCCCCCCCTTCCGCTGGAGGTCTGCAAGGCCTACCTCTCGAGCTACCAGCCCCCGCCTCGACCGCGCCCGCCTGGCCCCCGGGCGAGCGGGCTCGACAGAGCGTTGCTCCCTCTCTCACCACCTACCAGACCACCCCAACCCAACCCGAAGGCTTCAATTTGCCCTCCATTTCCAGTGTGGGGGGGTCGGGGAACGTTGAAAAAACACATGGAACCCGTACCCCCCCCCCAACCCGAAGTTCGGGTCAAATTCGGGTCTTCGGGTTGGGTTGGGGTGGTCTGGTAGGCAGTCACTCTCGGCCCCCCGCCGCTCTGTGTTGGCGCGCCGGGCTCGCGGCGACCTCTCGCCGCGGGCGGGCCTGCTCGGCCTCTCGCGCGGGCCGCGCGGGCGGGCGACCTCTCGCCGCGGGTCTCGCGCGGCCGGCCCGGCGGGCCTGCGGCTGCGGGGTCGGCCTCGAGCTCGGGCCGTGCGCCCTGGCCCTCGGCTTAAGTCGGGCCTGTCCCTCTACAGGGGGGATATTCAAAAGTAGTCAGAAAAATAGTAGGGGACGAGTTTTTGACAATTTTTGGGCATGTTTAGGGTATATTTTGGGTATGTTTGATTCTTCGTCCAAAATCCACCTGTAGGGGGGCAGGCCTGACTGAACCCTCGGCTTCTCTCTACCGCCGCCCGCCAGAGGAGGAAAAAGTGCAGGTATACGGTATACCGTTGCTCTTCGCCCGGTTTCCCTTCTTGGGAGGGGCCCTCGTCGCCGGCGCCGGACTCGCCGCGAAGTCCTGGTCAGCTTGCACCCCGGGAGAGTAGCGGTATCGGTACCTTTTGGTTTCCGCAGTTTCTCTGCCGCGCCCACCCCCCCGTCCGTGGGTGCTCGGTTTGGGGGACCTTCCTGCGGCCCATCCAGAGGATCCGTTCGATTCTAGTTCGACCCAGGTTCGATTCAAGGCCGGCTCAAATCGATGGGCGGTCGACACAGCATCGACGCATGAGTGGAGCAAGTTGCTCCAGGAAGGTCTCCAAAACGAGCATCTAACCGTCCGTTCGCCTGCCCCCGTCCCGTTCCCTTCTTCCGATCCCCCCCATCCCCCCTCCGTCTCCCCCTCTTATGGGCCGTCTCCAGAAATTGGCTGGTCCCCGCGGATGGAGCGGAGGGTTCGGCCAGAGCACGCCAAAAACCTCCGATCTTCCCCCCTGCCCCATCACTTCCCCCGCCTTCCTCCAGTCTCCCCCCGCCTTCCTCCCTGATCCCCCCTGTCCCCTCTCTCCTCTGCCCTCCCCATCCTGTCCTTGGCCCCCTCCCCTGGCCCTCGCCCGCCGTGTACCTCCCCTCTCCTATCCATCTGCCTTCGCCCCCCTCCCTTTTCCCCCCTCCCAGTCTCCCTCCCATGCCTCGCCTTCCCTCCCTCCCTCCCCCTTCTCTCCTTCCCGCTGCCGGTGCCAGTGCGAGACCTTTGGCCCTCCATGGCCGATCCCTCGGAGCCTCCGGATCGCCTGCTGGCCCTCGCGCGGGCGTGGTCCTCCACAGCGCGGCACCTCGGTGTGAACAGCGCCGCCGGGTGGGTCGGTCCTGCGCAGGGCAGCCAGGGGCGTTCGTTTTGGCCGCGGCAGCCCGCGGAGAGCCAGCGGGAGTTTTCGGGCGCCTCCGCTGTCGGCAGAGCTGCGTCGGAGAGAGCGTGAAGGTTGGCCGAGGTCTGCCCTCCGCATCGTCTAACCGATTCCCATCCCCACTGGGCCTCAACCCCACCAGCCCACCCTCCCAGGTGGGGACAGGCCTCGCGAAACCCGATGGAACAGTCATACATGATCCAGGGTTCCGCCCTCCCCCACACCACCCCGACGCTATGGGATAGCCCCTCCCCGCTGGATGGGTACGCCCGTGAGCCTCGCGAAGGCCTCTCAAATGGGATTGCCCCCTCTCCTGCCGTCGTGGCCCTGTGGGCGTGGCGTGGTTGTGGGTGCCAATGCCCCCCCCTGTGGATGTGGAGTGTTTCGTCGTCGTCGTCGTCGTCGTCGTCGTCCGTCGTCGTCGTCTGCTTTCGTCGTCGTCGTCCTCGTCGTCGCCGCCGTCGTCGTCGATGTCGGCGTCGGCGTCGGCGTGGGCGTGCGCGTGGGCGTGGGCGTGGGCGTCGTCGTCGTCGTCGGCTTGGGCGTCGTCGTCGGCGTGGGCGTCGTCGTCGTCGTCGGCGTGGGCGTCGTCGTCGTCTTCCGTCGTCGTCGTCGTCGTCTTCTTCCGTAGTTGTCGTCGTGGTGGTCGTCGTCGTCGCAGGCGTCGGCGTCGTCATTGTCGTTGATGTCGTCGTCGTCGTCGATGTCGGCGTCGTCGTCGTTGTCGTCGTCGTCGTCTCAATCTCCCGTCGTCGTCGTCGTCGTCGTCGTCGTCGTCGTGGTCATCGCCGTCGTCGTCGTCGTCGGCGTCTGCGTCGGCGTCGTGGTCGTCGTCGTCGTCGTCGGCGTCGCCGTCGTCGTCGTCGTCGTCGGCGTAGGCGTCGGCGTCGGCGTCGTCGTCGGCGTCGTCGTCGCCTGGTGACTGTCGTTGGTCGTCGTCGTCGTCGTCGTCGGTCGCCTTTGTCGTCGACGTCGTTGGCGTCGTCGTCGTCGGCGTCGGCGTCGTCGTCGGCGTCGTCGTCGTCTTCCGGCGTCGTTGTCTTCTTCCGTCGTCGTCGTCGTCGTCATCGTCGTCTCCCCCATCCTACCAGGGGGGGGGGCCCTATGGAACTCTGGGACCAATATCATTCCGGGGGGGAAGGTGCTGGATCAAATATCCCCATCTAGGAGGTAAGTCGGACAGTTGGCTCAAAGCTCCGCCAGTATGGAGGGATAGGCTTGTAGATGCTCATGCCAGGGGGTGCGGTAGGCTCTCGCTGCGTCGGCGCGGGGGCGGCCCCAGCATGGACGCTGAAGACTGAGCGCCGCCAGTGGCGCGGAAACGGCCAATACTGAACGCTGCGCTATTACAGCGCCCTGGCCGGTCAAGTTTGGGCGATCCACGCGGTGTCAGGAAAGAATCCAACGCCGAGTTCGTCGCGACGTGAACCCGCGGCATGTTGAGTGCTGCCAAGATGCCCCCAGAGGCCGACCGATTCACACATGACGAGCAACTTCCCGCGGGTGTGCGCCGCATGCCCTCGTCTCGAGCAGGCCACTGCCATCGAATTACTACCACTGTCAGCACCTGGATCGAAATATGTACGATCACCTGTAAATCATGCCAGTAAGAGCAGTGGAGAGGAGGAGGAGGAGGAGGAGGAAAAGGAGGAGGAGGAGGAGG